CACGACACACAAAACGGCACCATGTTGAGCTTAACGATCTCCGAAGAACGTGCCCGATATTCGTACGAATTGCAGTGCCTCTCGCAATGCTGCTGTTATTCGTTATATTGACATTATGTGCGAGAGGATATTGAAAATATGATTCAATTCTTAAAATATGAATATCATAATAAATGCATAACATTGACTAAAATAACCGCAGTGCCAAACTAAATCCAATTTTACTTATTACCATTCAAACAACTGTAATTATTCCATTTTTGCAAAAATAAAAACATTGCTTTTTTAATTATTATATGTATAATTAGGTACGAATACAAAAGCTACGAGAGATTTTTTTTCTTGGAATCTCTTCTTAAGAGATGTTTGTTAATAATATTTTTTTCTTTAAATTATATTTTTAAAATTATTTTATCGTTTTAATTTTCAACACTTGTCACATATCAGCATAGTCAACGGTGATAAAAATATGGAATCTTGTATTTGATGACTAAGCGTTCTTTTGAGGATGCGTCGAAAGATTCAATTTTCATGCATGTCTTAACAATTTTGTATCACAAAAGAATTGCCATAATACATCAAGAGCCTCGGACATAATGGCGATCTGTAACATCTATATCGGACGTCGGAACTTAAGTGTCGTTCTTCGTTGGCGGTAAATTTCAGAAAAGGGTTTCGGCGAGAAAGTAAGAAATTTTCGGCGTAACGAATTGTCTAACGCGTGTCGGGCCATACTGCTGGTTATGATCTCGCAAAAGTAGCACAATATCCTGACTGCGTCCATCTCTTCATGAGAACGAACGATACATCATTGCAAAGTGCCCGCGACTAAACGACGTCGCATTTGACAATCTGAGAAAGATCATTGTGCTTTCACACGCACTAACGCGGCTTCCCGACAAAGATATCAGGAGAAAAAAATTTCACATCTGAGAGAGCTTTCGTTTCAGTCGTTATCGAGTCAAACTTCTACTTTAAATTTGTCAATGCGTGATCCGATTACGCGATGCATCGAGTTCTGCATGAGTTATTTTTGCATTAAGTTATATAAGCTTTATATATAAAGATATAAAACTTCATATATAAATATCCTATCTCTTTATATCGGAGAAAAGAAAGATTTTCGGAGCTATCGTGCATACGGTATCGAAAAAATTAATCAGCAAGCACAGATATTCTCCACATTGACGAAATGTCAATGTCCGCCTGATCCTTTGTAAATTTTTGATCCGGACACGTTTTATAGCGGTTTACATAATTTCTCCACGCAAAAAGGAAAGCTGGGTTGGGATCAATGGGAACGAGGGAGGAATCGCGGAGACGCACGAAGAGAGTATGGGTAAAGGGGACCCTCGTCCTGCAAAATATCAAAGGCTCAGTAGGGAAATTGAAAGGCTTTGTATGGAAATAAGAATGTATCGACTGCCCCCGGAACAGCCACTCATCCAGGGACAAGATTTTCGAATCTTACATTTAAACGCTTCGTCGCAAGAGATCGGGAGAAAAGAGGGGGGCGCAAGATTTCTTATTTATTCTACCAGGAATATAATGTCGACGCTATTGCGCAATCTCGCTATCATACTATTTCTGATAAGATGTTCAAGCATCAAATTAAAATTGATTCTATCTTTTCTTAATTAGCAAAAAATTTTTAAATAAAGCAAGCTGGATATATGCATAGAAATTAATGATATAATAATTTAACGTTTATGGAAATTATGTGAAAATGTTTCTATATGTAATTTTTTCATGGAAAAATTTGTTATATATTAGAAAAATGTAAAGAAGAATTATTCTAATCAATAAATAGTATTTATAAGCTATAAATAAGAAATTATATAATTATGCATAAAAATTAATGATATAACAATTTAACGTTTATGGAAATTATGTGAAAATGTTTCTATATGTAATCTTTCCATGGAAAAATTTGTTATGTATTAAAAAAATGTAAAGAAGAATTATTCTAACCAATAAATAGTATTTAGCTATAAATAAGCTATAAATAAGAAATTATATAATTATGCATATATATTTGATATTAGTTCCTTGCATGATAACATTTATCGTCAATAGCATTACTATTTATTTGACAACGCTAGCTATGGGAAACGTTTCAAACTGAAAAGAAACTGGCAAGCTCAGCCATTTCAATAGTCGATACATAATAGCATGCTTATGGTAACCTCCGAAAAAATATGATAACTTGCCGGCTTTGCTCTCTCTTTGCTGTTGAAGGAAAAATCTATGAATCATGCAATCTGTATAATCTTTTAGCAATTTTAATTATAAGACATTATAATGGTTCATGTATGTTACAAAAATTTACAATTAACAATTTGTTTAAAAATAGAATATTTTATAAAAATTAATTTTATATATTTTTATTAAATAAGTTTCTTTGCGAGATAATTATGTTGTTTTGGTATATCAATCCTGATGACTATGTAATAATAATTAATAGTATGAATATATAATTTATTATAATAGGAAAAAACTGATTTACAAAAAAAAGTACCTCATCTTCTTTCAAACCATTATTTAAGTAGCGAAATGTGGCTAATGGTGTACAGCTGTAATCATCAGCACGCGAGGGTGGAAAAATAAATACCTTACGAATAGTCTTATACAAACCGCGATACAGTTTACGGGCACGTTCGATCGCAGCTAAACTGATTTTTTTTCCGAACAACGTATTCAATACTTAAAGCATAATATCTTTTGAGTTTTAATAAATATCAACTATTAACGCGCGTTTACGTAAGCATAAAAAAACGTCACAGAAAGAAAAAAGAAGCAAAATTTATCTGGAAAAGTATGTGCGCATTAAAACGACGTGTATTAAGAAAAAATTTCAAATCTTATAGACGATGCGCGGAACGCATGAAGCCATTTCTATTGTTGTTCAAATTGTGCGGAATGTTTGCCAATAAAATCACAGAGGGTCAATTGAAACGTTGTTCTAGGCCATTTTACATTATTTGCGTCTTCTGGATAAGCGTCTACGTTTCGTACACCTGCTTCTTGTTAAGTAATTTTCTGAGATTAGCCCATATTCAACTAAGAATGACGATAGACTTGATCAAACATATAATGGGGTATATAAGTCTTAGCGTCAACGTCATAGCTGCTTACTCTTCGCAAAATCACTTTGGCAAGGTGAGAGGAGGATAATAAAGCGAAAAAGCGGTACATCCTTTAAATTAGTTGCGTTCCCCCCATCCCCCGCGAGAGCTCTAACATTTTCTCTGATATAAATTTTCGCCGCAGCTTTTCGATCGACTGGATAGTTACGACCACGAAGCTGCACGAATAAAAAACGAAAGGAGGGACAATTTATGGATACCCAGAATTGCAATGCTTTTAGTTACCGCCATTAATCTGTTGCTTATGAGCGTGATAATGCACGAGAGATCGACGGATATCATATTGTTCGTGACGATTTCGGATATTTGCACGATATGCATGCATATTTACGGTACTTTTGAGAAATCTCTCCTGTTGTATCTGATACTGGTACGTTTCAAACATTTAAACGAGAAGATCGTGCCGAAGGTATCGTGGAATAGAAAACGACACGGACCAAATACGATCGAGATCTCGAATATGCAAATTATGCACTCGATGCTTTACGATGCTCAGCGAGCTTTTAGTGATATATACAGAAATCCTTTACTGCTATGGTTTGCGAATCTTATGATGCACGTTCTTGGAAATGTACATATCTTTCGACACAAGAAGCCATTGATATCTTGCGCCTTCGTCCTTCCCCCGTTTATGCAAATGTTGACTCTGTGCACAATTTGCCACTACACAGCGGAGGAGGTATACGAAAAATTAAATCTCTATTTCATCTATTATATGAAACTCATTGCATTTACATAAATAATTTTATTCTATTTATAAAATTTATTTTATGATATAAACAATTGCATATTTCAGGCAAATAAAATCGGTTGTATCATAAACGGAGGTATGACTGCGCTTGTAAATTCAGAACAGACAATGGTAATTGCGATTATCTAATAAAGAATAATCTTCTTTTTCGTATCCAATTGTAAATTATTTCATTTTAGAAAAAGATTGAAATCTTGACGTATTTTTTGAATACTCAAGTGTCTTTTGATGCGGCAGGATATTTTATAATTAATTTACCTTTATTTCAATCTGTAAGTACCTTTCTATTTTATACAAATTATTGTTACTCTCGTGCATGCAAAAGATAATTATAAAAGAAATTATTGCACTTCTGTTGTTTTTTAAAATAAATTTTTATTTCTAGATTATTGCAACAATAACTACTTACTTCATGATATTAGTATAATCTTTCTACTACAATATTTACACGTTTTCGTAAGACAAGCAAATAATTATGTAAGAAAAAAAAGATTAATAAAATTTAATAATAAATAATTATTTTTTAATAAAGAGAATTATTGAGTACACATCGTGATAAACATATAAATGCCTGCAACTTGATTAATTCGCAATATAATTAATGATGATTTCTATGTCACCGATAGTATGGAACAACGTAGGTTTATATACATATTTTTGTATGTCTACACGACCGTTACGTGATTCGATATGGAACGGAATCGTAACACGTATCTTCAGGTAAATACATGTTTCACTTTTATTAACTGATGTGTCGCAAATGGATTCACGACGCTATATGCATGATTTGACATTTATCGATGACGCGACTATGTCAGTTTTATCGCTATTTTAATCTCTATCTTCTGTCACACGTCAGCTGCATCGGAAAATATTCGTGTGCGTTAAAAAAAGCCGCAATTTAATAGCAATATGAAGACAGATAAAAATCGAAGACAATAATTTACATAGACCTCATTTATATAGAAGTCACATGGTATCTCTGATAATCGTTACGGTGTTATACGAATCGTCTAGCTTTGCACTGTGTAGTCGTTAAAAATAACTTATCAAAAGCTGTTCGTCAAGTTAGTCTATCGAGAATAGCGCTTCATTTTTTCGCCATGTCAAAAACGATATTAACGTTACAAACGCCTTTCCAAAACCTAAAGCTTATAACAATGATCAATAGAATAATGGGTTTACTTCCGTGCAAATTAGTAAATGGTCGATTGAAACCAAGCGCCTGGAACCGTTTTTATTGTGGATTATGGATATTAATTCATTGTGCGTACTCGGGTATGTTTTACTATGATATGTACATTGCATTTCTTGAAAAAGAAGCTAATAAAAAGATGCTAATTTTTGATATCGTGCGGTTTACTGTCTTTATCGCTTCGTTAATTCCTTATAATTGTGTGGCGGCCTTTCAGGACCAAGATTTTATCAAGGTAAATAATTGCAGAGTAATAAATACATATATTTATATAGTAAAATATAATATTAAAAATATGTATATATATATAAATATTCATCAAAAGTAATTAATTTGTAAAATTTAAAAAAAATAAATGAGATGTGCGTGTGCGAGGATTCAAATACATTGCTTATTACACCGCGTCCGGTAATTTTTTTCAGTTTTCCGACAAACTGGAAACGTATGATGACAAGGCAAGAGCATTAGGATATGAAAGGAAGGATAAGCACAAATTCATATGGTTATTTTTCGTATTAACAACGATCGATCTGATTAGAAAGACATATGACTCCATTGATGACAGCATACCGGAAGGAACGACGGCAATAGTAAAAACAATATTCGAGGGAGTCGTTCCATTTGTCATAGGCACTTATTGCGTCTTTATAACCGGCATATTTCTGGATTTGATAGGCCAACGTTTCCATCATCTGAACGAAACGATAATACCTCACGTTTCGCAGTTACCGATTACTGGATCGCCGGGCGAAATCACGGTTTACGACGTGCGCTATTTGCACGGTATGCTCCTCGATAGTGCGGATCAGATAAATAGGTTGTTCGGGATAGGTATCTTCTTTACCTCCCTATCTTTATTGCTAGAATTCGTCAAAAATATATATGTATTGGCAACAAAAGGCATAGATGACAATGAGATCATAACTATGTTGGACTTATTCTTTCAAGCCGTTTACCTGTACGGAATGTATCACTTTGTGGCTTACGAAGTAAATATAGAAAGCTTTGCTGTAAAATATTATTTTTTTTAAGATTATTTCTTTAAAATGTTTATTATAATTATTTGACATTTTCTTGAGAGCAGAATATTTCAATGCATCTAAATTGCTAAGAGAAAAAAATCTCGAGTACAATATTATTATTATTATTTCAGGCAAATCGCGTTGAAGATCGTGTATTAAAATATGGGCTATCCTTTCAAAACAAAAAATGCCGCATGGTAAACCTTAGGTTTTTTTCTCCCTTACTTCCTGCTCCGTAGCAAAATTATAAATTATTTAATAAAAGTAATTTGTTTCAGGACAAAATTGAGATAATGTTATATTTTTATCATAGGAGGTATACCTTCACAGCCGCAGAATTCTTCATATTAGATTTAACTATATTATTTTCGGTAAGATCAATCTATATTCCTCTTGTACCATTACTGAAATATAACTATAAATTTTTACTTGTGTTTCAGATGTTTTCTGCTATTATAACATTTATAACAATATTAGTATAAATCTCTTGTAATGAGCTAAAGATTCATCAAAAAAGATAATGTTTTCCAAAAAGAAGTTTTACATAGAAATATATCATAATACACAAATCATATTTCATAATTAATAAAACAATTCATAATAAATAAAACATTTCATAAATAATAAAATAATAAAACAGAGCTTAACTTTAATGAAAGAGGGCAGCAAGGATTCCGTTTATTATAAAACTTCAAATATAAAATCCAATAACAATAACATTATGTCCGATATATATTTACACACAACTCATATGCGTAACTAATTTACTCGTATGAATATACGAGAAGTAAAAGCAAACACATAAGAGATAATAGATAAAAATAAGACTGAATAAAAAAGCTCTTATTTCGTACTTTGCTATTTTTTTTCTATGTATATTTGGTTTTAAATTAAATAGCGAAGTAAACGATATCCATTAAATCTTTTGCACAATTGATGAAATCTATGTTTTCTTTTTTATTTTAAATGGTTTGATCAAATATATTAATGTATTAATTAATAAAAGCAAGAAAGTGCGTCAATGAGTACCCTCGCTTTACCACATCATATCCGTTTCCGGATTGGCACGCGCTAGAGGATTCAAACATAAGCTTTTTAGAACTTGTACAGCCTCCTCCCCGTCGTCTTTAGCATACAGAGTCGTCCGTTTGGCGCTTCCAAGTTTCATCGATTTCCTGCCAAAAGTATCTACCAGCGAACTTACTTTAATCCCGTGCCTCTTGGATCTCATCGTTTTCTTGAAGGAATTCTTCGAAGACAGTGATCCTTTCGTCGCGGTAAATGATGAGCGGCGACGCCTCCGCCTGGATCTCTCGCCAACGTTAACAGCATCCGGATAAACCATCGACTTGATTGCCGATCTTGTAACGTTGCGATCGTCTCTAGAATGTATCATCGCGCGATCCGGCTGCGGCGCTTTCCGTTTTTGAGTTCGACGTCGCACGTTTGGAACAGTGCGAGGACTCTTGTAAACAGACGTCACAGTCCTCGCAATCCGCAGAGGATCCAGAAGCTCATGATTGTGCCAGGAAGCTACGACGGGTAAGCCGCAGGCGTTGTGCATACCTACCAACGGCACACCGATGCTTCGATGTCCCCTTACCTCGAAGAGCGATCGATACCTAGGATTGGGGCCACGCAGACTATGTCGAGTATTCTGCTCGTACGCCGATATCTTTTGACCAACATGACCCTCCGCTACTTGCAACGCATCCGTGTCTTCCATCACTCTTCCATCTTTTGTACACGCCGTTATCATTACTGTATTTCCCGAAGATTCACGCGTACATCTCGAAGGCTGGCGATCGTAACTCGAGCTGAATCTCCTGCGTGAGCCCCTGTGAAAATATTCATCTATGTCGGATCCGTCCTGCGATCTCTGATCTTCCGTCTTACTAAAATATCGATTCTCTTCAGTGTTCTTGTTTGGATCAGCGCAGCAGCAGCCACGTGGATCGCGTTGACTGTTGCAAAAGTGGCAGAGTGATCTCTTGCGATTATTATTGGCTTCCATTTGCGCGGCGATGCATGTAATCTGCGACGCTGTTCGATGATGCAAGTTACTGGCTGTAGGAATTATTTTCTTCGACGCCATATAAACGCTCTTTTCAGGTTCGGAAACTAAAGTCTCGAATTGCGATTGAGGTGCCACGGATCGTCGCAATGTACCGATGTTATGCGCGATCGATGCTTGGTAATCTTTAATGGGGATGCTTCTGACTGTACCGCCACCTTGAGGTCTTTTAATCTTAATCAGCTTGTTATCGTTGCTATTTTTATTGACATTATCATTCACCATTTTTGAAGGCGGCGCGTTTTGTGAGAATCTCTTAAGATATTCCTGAGGACGATTATCGATTATAACGTCGACCGCCCGTTCCTCGTACGTTTGATCGCTCCGTAATAAATCCTCGGAGTACTTGGGAGGATTTTTCCATTCCTCGATTATACTCTTTTTATTCGATGCTAATACACTATATTTAGTATCATCGCATATAGTTTCTCGATTATTCGAGTCCTTAACGTCAACTGCTGTCCGTCCTTGACTGCCCTCCAGCCATCTTCATGATTTGGCACCAAACGTCGTCCCGGCCGTATGCATCCTGTTCTCGATACCTATACCTATAATCCATATAATTTACATGGTGAAAAAAAATATGCAATCAATAATAGAGATTATAAATGTATAAAGGCGTGTAAAATATAATCGTACGGATTTAAGATAAAGAAACTTTTCTTACTAAAATCGTGATCGCTCTCGGTGAATGGACTTAAAGTCTGCGTGGAGGTAAATGTCGACGCCTGCGACTTGCTTCTCCTGTTTCCTCGCGAGCAAGCGAGAAGTATGCTGAGGAGCGCTATGACTTCGACAAACATAACAGCTAATACAATAGCCAGCAGGATCAATGCTTGATCTTGCATCCACTTCTCGATATGTTCAAGACAACCCTGAATGTAGAACAAAGAAATTATGAAAAATACTGTTACAAAAATATGACTGCAAGAATGAAATATCAGGGCTACCCGCATTTAAATAAATTCGCTCACAAACCTTAGTCTTCCTTCATGAAGACCTTGCCAGACAAGACAAAAGCCAGTATACGATTCTCTAAAATTCGAGCACGAGAACATGCCGGCTTTATCACAAATTTTCTAACAAAGCGCGAAAAATTTATGTACAGAATACGATGCTGAAGTGAATCGATAGTTGTCGAAATAGAAATGAAAATTCTCTCAAATATTATTTCGCAGAAACATTCTCGCGTTCGCACAAGATACGCAATTTTATTTTTTTATTAAAATAAAATAACTTTTCAACTTTATATAAAATGGGAGTTGTATAAAAAATAGCAACGCAACGCGTCCTGCAAATCGTCTTTCTATCGGCAATATGTCGATATTCTATATTTAACGCATTTGTCCCCGTTTGATATATGCGGGTCTCCGCGTTTTATCTTTAATGAGAACCGAAAGTGCCGTCTCGCATGCGTTCGCACGGCGAAAGGAAAAAAGGGGAGCAATAACTTCCTGATTATCGCGCATACCACTGTGTGTCGGGCGTATTGATGTTCGGCAGGGTTCAGAGCCTGGCAGAGAGTGAGATTGGCAGGCTCAGGGTTGAGGAAAGAGTCCGTCTCATTGGCATTATTCAGGGTGCAACAACTGAGAGGTACTACTAATTCTCTTCGGCCGACTTCCTGCAGCCGCCACCACGACGTGCCGTAATTGCTGCTTCCGTTTATGCCGCAACAGGCAAACTGTAATCGTCACAATGATAGCAACGCGTATTTCTTTTTGTTACAATGGATACAATAGCCAATAGCTAATCATCCGAGTAACATAAATTTACGATGGAGATGTACAATAATATGCTGACACAATCACTTTTATTTATTTTATAATTTTGGCTATAAAATATATAAAACATAAGGAGTTGTGTAAAAAGAAACATTAAATATATAAATAAATAATCAAATAAATAAGTTTAATCTTTTTCTTACAATCTTAATTTTTATTATATTGATTTATTAAAAATATTTTATATACGAATTAATGTGTCGACAAATAAATTTTTTTGCAACATTTAAATAGTAATGACAACGAGATCTTTCAAATCTATATTTTTTATTTTTATATAAATTTAAAAAATGATATAAATTTTCTTACCGTCGTTTGTGCAAGATCGAGGGCTGCCGTGAATTGTTCGCGTCCAGGAACAGAGTAACTGCGTTGCAAAGCGCGTATCAGACGTGCCGGTCTTACATCGATCCCCAATATGTGAGGCCAAAAAACAGCGATAATACACACGGTACATTCACCGAGGAGCAGCAAGATTATCGTCACGAGATACTGGAAGGTGCAAAAGCGAAAGATCAATCTCAAACCACCTAGATTGAGATACCAATCTTGCATGCTACAATGTACGATTATATTCAGAGGAACGATATTCTTTCACTCATATATGTATAATATATCTGTTTAATTTATATTAATTTAATAACAATAATATATATTTTTCTACGTATATTTTTAATTCAATGTTCTCTGCCACTGGTGTATAAATAAAAATTGGAAACGCTAAGCAATTTTTACTTTTCAAAAAAAACAGCATCATCGCGTATTATTTATTCCCTCGACAAGCTAACTCACATTCGCTCGTCCATGAGCAAATAATTAGTGTTTTTACCCGGTGCTCGGACGCGCCCTCCTTTTATTTACGCGCGTGTCTGCATAAGAGCAGATCCGTTTCCGGGCAACGACGCGTGACTGATTCCAAAGTAGGAAATCTAGTTTTAGATAGGCTTGATGAATAATACACCGTAGTGAATTCACAACGAAATATTACAAATAAAATAGATTTTGATTGCGTGATTAACATATCTCGATTTTAATTCAAACGAATTTTTTCTTCATATAAATACGCGAAGACCGTTACAATTACAATTAATTCTATATATTTTATTGATTTACATCGTTAAAATTATCACTATAAAAAAACGATTATAGCAAATAACTATGTAGATTTTTGATACGTTGTAGAAATAAATTTTTGATGTTATATGCATTAAATATTGAATATTATCGAATAAAATAATAGAAAAATACAAAAACACTGGCGCGCTATATTTGCAAAGATACAAAATATTATTAAACACGTGTATAAAATTATTAAATTGTTAGATTTAAAAAATATTATATAGAGATCTTTCTCTCTTACGAAGATTGTGATGCAGCGATTGAAGAGACAAGCCGCCCAGCATCCGAAAAGCCCGGTGATGGCGATGAGAAATCCTAGTGCAACTATAGCAAAAGCCAGATAATAAAAGAGTGGTTGATCGGGATGAATGTCACCAGGTCCTAGTAGACGTGATAATAAAATCCGTTCATTATCGGCTAATAATAATCCACCTAATGACATCAATGCAAAACCTGAAATCTGAAGAAAAGAATGGGACCGGATTTTTATAAAAATTTTATTGATTGATGATAATTAATTTACAATAATCATTTTACACGAGATATATCGAACCAATTTGCGTCATGTTAGCTAATATATTATTTCATATGTGTATTTATTTACTCTTAAATGTAATTATTTTATTATCAATCAAGATTTATTAAAAACAGATATAAAATAAGATTCTATATTCGAGAAATAAATAATTGATGACTCACCAAGAAAATTATATTTGAACAGCAAACAAAGGCGCGCGATATAGCTAATCTTCCAGTTTCCATTGTTGTCCGGCGAGTTCGTTTTAATAAACAATTATTGATTTGCATTTTTTGGTCACATAAAATTTCCACGGTCACGCTCTGCGCACCGCATAAAAATTCGACTCGCACATTTGACAATTCGCTACGCGTTAAAATCCAGTCTTCTTCCGAAACGGACCTGATCGCGTATGTTCGCGGACTGAAAACCCCCTCGTATACGGCGGATAGACTTCGCCGTACAGTCTGCAGGCGCGCTTGCGTGCCCTCATGTGCGACCGACCAAACGGAAGCGGAAGGAAGTAGAAAGGTGTGGATGGAAGAAAAACGGAAGGGGAATGAAAAGTTTATATGCACGCGGTTGTTGGCCGATTCGTTTTGCGTACGATTTGAGTCAATAAAGGTTCACTTGATCAACAGGGGAACTTTCAATGGCAGATGTCCACTCCTTGTTCAGGTGTTGAATATACTTTCATATATTATTTTTATATATCGAAATTGAATTATTTTTTGTTCCTGTATTTATTATATTATTTTATAAACAAATATTACAAAATTATTAAATTTACAAATGTCTCCTACAATATTTCTCATTTGCGCGTATGACGGGATATATTATATGCATATTCTCTTTCATAATTAATTAAAAATATTTATTATTTAATAAAAACGTAATAATACTTTAATAAATTTCACTCTCTTAATGCCGGCGTTGATTATATAATAAATGATCATTCTCTGGATTATGTATTTATTATAGAAATTTTTCTATGATGTAAACAAAATTGCAGGTTGAAACCATATAGCGCGTAACAGGTCAAAAAAATATTTTATGCGCATTATTGTAAGTGTGCACGAAGCCTATCTCCTCTTGTCTACATTAATTCAGCCGCTACACCATGCATTTCCCCTTAAACGGAATAGGCACGGCTTACAAGCGTAAGTGAAAATTCAATTTGCTACGAGTACGAAAAGCAAAATCGTGAATATGTATATTTAATATTCAAAATAATAATAATAATAAATACATTTTCGAATATTTCCGAAACGCGGGAGTCTATTCAATTATATAATTATTTCTATAATTTTAACCGTGTTCTTTCAAAATCGAAGGAGTTTTAATTATTAACATCATTAATTAATTTTTTCACCTTTATGTAATTGCTCGGTGATAGATATACTGTCAGATTTTCGTTAAATGTTATACGAAAAATGACGATATCTTTTTGCAATTTTGGTTTTATATACATATGTAATATTTTATTGTTTCTCCGAAAGTGACAGTTTACTCAAAAATTTTCAATAAGCAATAATTATATTTTCAATTTCGTATTAAATTATCAAATTTCTAATTAATCATATTATATGTATGTAAGAAAAATTCCGCGTTATATTTTTTTATATATTTCCCTCCATTTATTTTACCAGAAAAAGAAATTGAAGGGAGGTGCAATCGAGAGCTGATTATTACGCAGAGTTTGATGATGTTTATCGGTTAAATCCTAATTAAAAAACTAACATATAATGAAGATTTAAAAACCGGAAATAAGTTGGCGCTGGAAGTTCATATTTTTTAATAATTTATAGCTCAAACGATTGCTCCTTAATTGCTTCGCATTGCTCCATTATTACGCTGATGTTTATCGGTTAAATCCTAATTAAAAAACTAACATATAATGAAGATTTAAAAACCGGAAATAAGTTGGCGCTGGAAGCGCTGGAATTTTAATAATTTATAGCTCAAACGATTGCTCCTTAATTGCTTCGCATTGCTCCATCATTATTTTCATAATTTATTGCATTTTTCATCGAAAATTAACAAATTAATCATTTCCCTAGCGACGCCGTTGTCACCTATCGGCCGCCTATCGAAACTATATGGCTCAGAAGCCAACAGCGAGAATATTCAAACATAATATAACATAAAACGATTGCTCCTTAATTGCTTCGCATTGCTCCATCATTATTTTCATGATTTATTGCATTTTTCATCGAAAATTAACAAATTAATAATTTCCCTAGCGACACCGTTGTCACCTATCGGCCGCCTATCGGAACTATATAGCTCAGAAGCCAACGGCGAGAATTTTCAAACATAATATAACATAAAACGATTGCTCCTTAATTGCTTCGCATTGCTCCATCATTATTTTCATGATTTATTGCATTTTTCATCGAAAATTAACAAATTAATAATTTCCCTAGCGACACCGTTGTCACCTATCGGCCGCCTATCGGAACTATATAGCTCAGAAGCCAACGGCGAGAATTTTCAAACATAATATAACATAAAACGATTGCTCCTTAATTGCTTCGCATTGCTCCATCATTATTTTCATGATTTATTGCATTTTTCATCGAAAATTAACAAATTAATAATTTCCCTAGCGACACCGTTGTCACCTATCGGCCGCCTATCGGAACTATATAGCTCAGAAGCCAACGGCGAGAATTTTCAAACATAATATAACATAAAACGATTGCTCCTTAATTGCTTCGCATTGCTCCATCATTATTTTCATGATTTATTGCATTTTTCATCGAAAATTAACAAATTAATAATTTCCCTAGCGACACCGTTGTCACCTATCGGCCGCCTATCGGAACTATATAGCTCAGAAGCCAACGGCGAGAATTTTCAAACATAATATAACATAAAACGATTGCTCCTTAATTGCTTCGCATTGCTCCATCATTATTTTCATGATTTATTGCATTTTTCATCGAAAATTAACAAATTAATAATTTCCCTAGCGACACCGTTGTCACCTATCGGCCGCCTATCGGAACTATATAGCTCAGAAGCCAACGGCGAGAATTTTCAAACATAATATAACATAAAACGATTGCTCCTTAATTGCTTCGCATTGCTCCATCATTATTTTCATGATTTATTGCATTTTTCATCGAAAATTAACAAATTAATAATTTCCCTAGCGACACCGTTGTCACCTATCGGCCGCCTATCGGAACTATATAGCTCAGAAGCCAACGGCGAGAATTTTCAAACATAATATAACATAAAACGATTGCTCCTTAATTGCTTCGCATTGCTCCATCATTATTTTCATGATTTATTGCATTTTTCATCGAAAATTAACAAATTAATAATTTCCCTAGCGACACCGTTGTCACCTATCGGCCGCCTATCGGAACTATATAGCTCAGAAGCCAACGGCGAGAATTTTCAAACATAATATAACATAAAACGATTGCTCCTTAATTGCTTCGCATTGCTCCATCATTATTTTCATGATTTATTGCATTTTTCATCGAAAATTAACAAATTAATAATTTCCCTAGCGACACCGTTGTCACCTATCGGCCGCCTATCGGAACTATATAGCTCAGAAGCCAACGGCGAGAATTTTCAAACATAATATAACATAAAACGATTGCTCCTTAATTGCTTCGCATTGCTCCATCATTATTTTCATGATTTATTGCATTTTTCATCGAAAATTAACAAATTAATAATTTCCCTAGCGACACCGTTGTCACCTATCGGCCGCCTATCGGAACTATATAGCTCAGAAGCCAACGGCGAGAATTTTCAAACATAATATAACATAAAACGATTGCTCCTTAATTGCTTCGCATTGCTCCATCATTATTTTCATGATTTATTGCATTTTTCATCGAAAATTAACAAATTAATAATTTCCCTAGCGACACCGTTGTCACCTATCGGCCGCCTATCGGAACTATATAGCTCAGAAGCCAACGGCGAGAATTTTCAAACATAATATAACATAAAACGATTGCTCCTTAATTGCTTCGCATTGCTCCATCATTATTTTCATGATTTATTGCATTTTTCATCGAAAATTAACAAATTAATAATTTCCCTAGCGACACCGTTGTCACCTATCGGCCGCCTATCGGAACTATATAGCTCAGAAGCCAACGGCGAGAATTTTCAAACATAATATAACATAAAACGATTGCTCCTTAATTGCTTCGCATTGCTCCATCATTATTTTCATGATTTATTGCATTTTTCATCGAAAATTAACAAATTAATAATTTCCCTAGCGACACCGTTGTCACCTATCGGCCGCCTATCGGAACTATATAGCTCAGAAGCCAACGGCGAGAATTTTCAAACATAATATAACATAAAACGATTGCTCCTTAATTGCTTCGCATTGCTCCATCATTATTTTCATGATTTATTGCATTTTTCATCGAAAATTAACAAATTAATAATTTCCCTAGCGACACCGTTGTCACCTATCGGCCGCCTATCGGAACTATATAGCTCAGAAGCCAACGGCGAGAATTTTCAAACATAATATAACATAAAACGATTGCTCCTTAATTGCTTCGCATTGCTCCATCATTATTTTCATGATTTATTGCATTTTTCATCGAAAATTAACAAATTAATAATTTCCCTAGCGACACCGTTGTCACCTATCGGCCGCCTATCGGAACTATATAGCTCAGAAGCCAACGGCGAGAATTTTCAAACATAATATAACATAAAACGATTGCTCCTTAATTGCTTCGCATTGCTCCATCATTATTTTCATGATTTATTGCATTTTTCATCGAAAATTAACAAATTAATAATTTCCCTAGCGACACCGTTGTCACCTATCGGCCGCCTATCGGAACTATATAGCTCAGAAGCCAACGGCTATAAATTATTAAAAAATATGAACTTCCAGCGCCAACTTATTTCCGGTGATTTAAAATCATTTATTATTTATATATATTATTTATCATGAAATTGAAATTTTTGTTGTCGATTTTTAACTTGCCGACAGTCGTATAAAATTTATCGACAAAATACTACAAGGGTTACAGATTTCCTATGAGATGGCGCCCCAAGGATCATCGTCGAGCGCAGAACATGCTCTATAGCGTTCTTTTTGCCGGCGTTCTAACGGTAGCGCCAGTCGCGCGCCTGGCGTCCTTGCGAAGGTTTCGTATTTTACTGTTTCTCCGTGCACGTTAGAAGAAAGTTCCGGATCGCGGTTCCGGTTCTCGCAACGGAAAAGAGTGAGGCACGTCTCGCAGGACGATAAACAGTCATCGGGCATCGCCATCAGCTGCTCTGTTGCTTTTATGATCTCGTAACCGGCCGTTAAGTATACGAACGAACGTGAGCGAGGAGAAACAATAACGGCGTCCGTCGACGCGTCTTCGAGGGGGTGAGTTTCTTACGCGCTTTTATCATACGTTTGTACATATTAATCCTCGTGCGCGCGAACGCGATTATTTCGCGAATATTCTAAATGCGAATGCGAATTTGAGAATGAAAAATGAGATTCAAAAAGTTCCTGCAATTTTGACGCAATCCGGATAATATCAAATATCGTGCCATTTTTTTTTTTTTGGGGGGATCTTGGGTCGTCGCGTTCCACGAAATAGAATGGTTCAAGCTCGGATTATTTCATTTCTACGCGTCTACCGCCAGCGAGGAAAGAGAGAGCGCGTCGGGGTGATTGTCAAAAATGCCGAGATGCATTGTTCGAAATCGTGCGGATGGCGGCTCCTCTTCGGCGTCACCTCTCGTGCTCGTCGAACGACACGTTCGGAATCGAACAATTTATTTTGCGAGGTCGAATCCACGTGATCCCGGCGATGCTGTTACATCGAATCGGATAGAAAGACGCGCGAATGAATGAATTAATCTCAAGGAGGCGATTAATAAACATTAACGTCACGATCTGCCCGAAAATTTTGCTTTTATTGATTAATTTCGAGTTAACGATGCGTTGTTTCTCAGTATAAAGTATTTTATGTATTATACATATAAGGTCTATTTACTTTAAGTGCGCTTTATTACACATTTTGCATTTTGGTATATATCTAGAATTAAATAAGTATATATATTGTATACCCAGAGAATTTAAAAAAAAAAAGCAAACTCAAAAAAGAGAATTATATAAGAAGCTGTAAAAAAACACATATACAAGAAGAAAAGAAGAAAATTTCTTCTTGCTAGGATGGGGCTTTAGTCGTTAGATTTATGTTCAAGTCAAAGAATAAAAGAACATATGTCCTATTGGCGACCTTTCCTTTTGGTTTCGAATTATGTTCTAGAAAATGAATAATAACATTATTGCCCTGGTCGCTTCGAACATTGTATTTCTGCAAAGTACGACGTAAGTAAAACTTATAAATTAAAATTTAAAATATAATAATAGAGATACAAAGAGAGCAATTGAAGAATGAAATCAATTGAAATGTAATTTTTTTTTTTATACGCGCATAATAATTTCTACTCGATTTTCTATTTATAAGCGCGATTACACTCATTTTTACTTGCTTTTCGGGATAAATAACTACTTGTAAAAAACGTATCTTCCGTTTGTCATAAACGGGGCAATGATCCTGCGAGGAGATATCCTTTAATTTAACGATGCAGCTAAAGAGGCTTAAATTTAATAGAATATCGATATCTTTTAAATATTGAATCTTATAAATAATATTCCCAAAGATAGCGATATCGCGATCTTGGCAAGAAATTTAAAAGGAAAAAAAGTCTGCTGTAAAATAATATAAAAATCACACACAATATAAACATTTAATATATATTTTCAAACATGAAGTTATTTATTGATAAGAATATATATAGGATAGAATCAAAACTGCAAATTTTGAGTTGAAAATTCAAGGATAAAAAAACTGCCACATTTTCATGAGACTGCTTTTTTTCGTGGAAGATGCATATATATTATGCATAGAAAGTTTTCTGCAGTAAGCCGAAGCGACGACAGTCTAGCGCCGTGGCTGCAATAGCCAGACGTAAACCGATCGATCGCGTGGCACCGGTCTATGAACTAGTAAATAGTCGGTGCATTCAATAGTAGTATATGCGTCTCTACATTTTGCGTCTTATACAATACCGTGTCTATTCGTTATTTGCATAATTTTATCACAAACTATTTCGTCGACTTTTACAGTATAGTTATTTCTTACATGTATTTAATATTTTATTTATATTTCGTGCCCTGTGCACATATTCAGTTTCATAGAAAACTTATTTTTCTATGAAACTGACGCACTGCCATCCGCGTTCTGGCTCTTACTAGCCCGCGATTATTAGAATTTGTGATGTCACTCGAGAGCCTAATTTCCTAAAATTGTTAGTTTACACCGGCTGAAAGATGGCGTTATTAATAATAGATATTTACATATAAGGCGAATGAGAACTGTCGGTGGTGTGGGGTCTGAATAGCGTACAGACTCGGGTTCGATTCCCGATACTATTTCGTCGACTTTTACAGTATAGTTATTTCTTACATGTATTTAATATTTCATTTATATCTAGTTTTATTATATCTAGTTTCTAAAACTTTTTTTACGTCTTGCAACGAGAGACGGTGTTATATATTTTTTTTCGCATTATATAAAATTTATATTAAAAATATAAGCGAACATAAAACTTTACTTGAATTGTCAGCTTTTTGAATATTTATTTCGCGATTTTAACGGACATTCACACAAATGTTCTCTTTCCGTAAATTCAATCGCGGTCCTTATGCATCACAACGATGGAGTGGTTCAACCAACTGCGGTAAATCAAATTAAATTTGGTTGATCCGGGGTAGCACGCTAAATCGTTTAAGCGAGCATGCTCTGCAGGGAGTCCGCGACATTTCGTAGATTGTTTGATGCACGCAAGATCATAAATCATTGCCGCTATACATTATGCATCTAATGCATTTATCGCGAGTAACTATTTTTGACGACTTGTCAAATGGAAAATAGAAAATAAATGTCACGTATTATAAAAACAATATAGATGACTATGTTAGAAAAATCTCTGCATAAAGGATTATTCTTAGAAAAGTTACGTTCGTGATGTTAATTTTTCTGTACGCGTTTCTACACAGTGTCATGTTCCAAGGTAAAAGGGATATCGATTTGCCATACAAGTTTAAATATCGGAATAAACAAGCCGGTTGACGGTCTCGGTAGAATACTCCACAGCACGTGAGCGAGAGAATCCTTGAAGGAGAGCGTTATAGAAAATCGTTAGTTTGAAAAATTTTTTTGTCCCAAATATATTGAGATAATATACTATTGGGAGAAATCTTGTAATATTTTAATGTCGATTTTACGTGATCTCAATACAATAATTCGACAATGTATATCAAAGTAAATTAGCATGAATCAAAATAGCGTACAAAGAAAATAATTTATCGTCCACTCTGTCATGTGTGTAACAAGTGACAACTGTTGAATAGCAATTGAACGTGATTAAAGTACTGAATATATCCCATACACAACACGGGCTTAAGTTGAAAATTCATCAAATGACTCTGCCATGTATCATAATATATTTTAATTCTTAAAATATTAATAAATTCCTTATTTAAATATTCTCGTTAAAGTTTCCGTGCGCTCGATGCCTTATTTAAAGCATGCTTTCTCCGTTCTCGATTACAGGAGTAGAGAATGAGTCAAGCGGATCAGAATCAGGACAAAAGCATGGACAAGAAGGAGATCGCCGAGGAAGAGAGGGAGAAAATGCTGAACGCCGAAAACACGAAGCACATCGGCGCCGCACCTGCTCCCGATCTCGAGTCCGAGGAACAGAAACCGAAGAAGAAGATACCGATCGGCGGCATCAAGATGCCCGGATTCTGCCGTACCAAGAGCAAGGAACCGTGCAAGGTATGGTGGCGCTATGTAATCTCTATGCTTCAATACACGCACAGCGAAAGGATCTATTTGAACGAAACAATACGATGAAATTACGAAATTTCCAGTTGCACATGCCTCGCATTTTTATGTCCTTTTCAAGATACGCACGTCACGTTTGTATTCCCCTTTAAATGCAGCAGGTGTAGAAAGCGCAGCATTAATGGATCTATTGTTCAGTGATTGTATCATCGTTTGCATCTGCATCATCGACGAGTAATCGCAATTGCCAGCGCATTTAGAATTTGCAAAGCGCTCATGAAAAGGTTACAAGAATGTCAGATAGTTGGCTCGTAGGCATTTAAATTACACGATGCGAAATTAAAAATACGGTGTCGAAGAATCTATATAAATGAGCCTTTACATTTTCGTCGAGGATACGAATATTTTGCAAGAAATATTTACGCAAACCGGTTAATCATTTATCGTGTAATTTACTCTGCTAAATTATCTTGCTAAGTAATCGACCCGCGAATTAATAACGGACTCGACATCATGCGTTTCCGCTTTTTGTCGTTATTGTTATTTGTGAAACGTCTAATCGATACCAGGTGCGACGCTTGACGCCACCAGCCACACGATGGATGAAAAAAATCGTTACGGGCCTACAAACACCCTTCATTGCGCGCGCCATGGGGTCTTCACTTTTTTTTTTTTTTTGAAGCGAATTACCTCATCGTCGCGAATGAAGCTCCATGGTGATATTGGAGAAAACAATCGATGATGATCGCGTCGAATGAGCTCTTTGCATAGTCGAAAATTTTCTACTTAAAATATTATAATTTGTGAAACTATTTTTTCACGCAAACGCGTATCTCTGTGCTTTGGAGAAAATACGATCGCATAATATTTTAAATAAGCAAATTACAGAGAGTGGCATAAAAAAACTTTATGAAACGAAGAGGATGTGACCGCTACCATAAGCTATAGAAAAATCGTGATAACGCATATATCTACGGGAAATGTATAGGATCGATTTGTTCTTCATTAATTTAAATACGAAAGTCTCGTATTAATAGAAAGTTCTCATACTCGAGAAAATGAATCTGTATTACTTGCTTTCATTGCGCACTTGTGTTTTTCTATCCACTATTTCTTTATTTTCACTATCAGTATTTCTTTACGTATGAAACAGCTGTATATAAATAGAGAGTGCAACCTTTCTTCGGATCGAGCAACATCTTATCGATGAGAGAAAACATTTACCGTCTTACACGAATAATTATTCTTACCGTAAAATATAAGATAAATATATCACTCGTAATGATAACGTAAATCAACGTCGTCGTTGAAAAGTAAGTCGAGCCAACATATTTTCGTGGTCGTTTTTTTATTTCTCTCTTTTCTTGTCTCCTCGTCGTTCTGAAACGACGATGACAAAGAAAAGCCGGCGCCCGGTGCCGTTGCACCCAACTGATTCTTCTGTAATTGACTTAATTCGCCTTATTAACCCGTCTAATTGGGAAAGAAAGTGTCGACTGTCACCTTGTGCTAGGAACCATTCTACCATCATTTCGGCTCTCTCGCCTCGCTTTGAGTTTCCTGCCTCTTTCGAAACGATCGCTATCGTCACCTTGTGATATTTTGTCATCTGAATAAATTTTTTGGAACTTTATTATACATTTCTCTTTTCTTTCACTTTTATCTTAACGGAAATAGTATTATAAATATTCTTCTTCTTTGTGTGTAAAATAAATGCGACAATAATAAATAAAGAAAAGAGGATTGCAGCAATATATCGTGGTTTAACAAATCGAATTAACAATTGAAAATTAGTTTTTGTCTCAAACATTGTTGCAATAACTACAATCATAATATTCATCTTACAAGAGTTTTTCAAATAATATTGATACATTTCTTTTTTATCTCCTCGATCCTCTTCGAAATGCTTAAGAACGCGAAAAAGTAACAGACACAAATTTTTACGTAATCTGTTGTGTCGAGTGAAAATATCTTTCTGTATCATTCGAGCATTTCTCTTGCACATTTCAAATACTTCACGATCTCAGATGCTTGAAACTGTTGCGCGTGTTTCTGATGTGACCATTACGGATCACCGGAATTTGCTGTAGCGTGAAACATCTGCCATGTTTGCCTAGAGCTATGTAGAGAAAATGTGGAAAATCAGGACGAGGAAGAAAGGCAATGTAACGAATTGTCGTTTTTTCCACAACTTGCAAAAAGATCTAGTATTTTACTTGAATTATTATTATATATCTACTTATTAATATATTTTATATTTTATCTGTTTTATCTTTTATTTACTCTCTCTCTCTCTCTCTCTCTCTCTTTTTGTATAACGCTATTTACGTATTATTTATTTGTTACTTCGGGAAAATTATTTTGTCTAATTGTAAATTAATTGAATAATCTAAATCAATATAATAGCTTAGTATATTAGGGTCTAAATAATAAATATCCACAAATAAATAAGATAAAACGGGCAAATGAGAGTCAACGCGCTGGATGAGGGGCGCCTAAAAATATATTATTCTTTGTAGGTGTAATTATTTATTAGACATCTTGGTCCCCCTGAATCTCGGACCATTTTCATTAATTTGACATAATATAAATAATGTCCAGGGCGTGTCGAGCGAGCTACACTTGTCAACGGTGACAATACTAATGATATTATTAATATTGTCACCGTTGATAAGTGCGGTTTGCTCGACACGCTCCGGACATTATTTATTACACCTAGGAAGAATAATATATTTTTGGCGACCATCATTCAGCGCGTTGGCTCTTATTTGCCCGTTTTATCTTATTTATTTGTGCAAATCAATATGTATTTCCAATAAAGTGATTGTGAGGCCGCGATAATTTCTACGTCACGATAATCAATCGTTCCAAACTCCCACATCTTAAATAATCTAAATAGAGAAAAGAAGCGGAAGTTAATCGTGGTCAAGCCATTGTGCAGTATCTCGCTGCGACATGCCGACCGGTCTTAACAATCAATCAATTGTACGGTATTCAATTTTCCCTCTATTGATAACGTAAAGACGGCGTGATAATACGTCCGGCGAGCTTTCTTTTAGTACGATTGACACGGGGAATGAGTTCTCGGCCGCGTAGAATCAAGGCGAATATTATTCAACACCCGGAAGCTGCGTCATCCTGACTGAATAGAATGTCGGTACATCTAAAACACGAGTCATTACCGAGAAAGCGCTCCCGGCGCCGTCGTACATAATGCCGAACGAGATTCTCAGTTCGCATCAGGAGGTGAAATCGACAAGAGCTTATTCTTGGAGAGGATACGGGAAAGGGTTTTGGGTACACAAAGGAGGCCGATGTTGCGCGGATGTTGAAGAAGCGAAAATATTATTCTTAATTCCTCGTAATTCTTATTCCGTCCTCCTTTCGCTTCCTCTCTTTTTTTGAACAGGCGCTCGTAAATTGCGGGGGGGGTTTGTTGTACAAATGCGGCTATAGCCGGGGGAGCAATTGATATACCGCTCGTCTTGTGGACACAGCTTTAAGCCATTACTATCTCTTCCCGGCGATGAATGAGAAACGACGAATAAAAGAAGGAAACAAAAGCTTCGTTGCTTGGATTGAGATTCGACACGTGTAAGACTCGTAAAAGAATTTTTAGGAGAGACATTTCGGATTAAGAACAATTGTCGTTTTATTCATTAACATTATTTTGTTACTTGCGCTTTGCTATAACTGTTTATGAAATTTGATTAAAAACTTCTGATGTTGAAATTAAAATCATTACACACCGATTACCTCGCACGTTAATACATAATCGTTTAATTCCCCTGTTTCCAGTGCAATCACAAATACATATGTGTGTTAATGCTTGGGCAATTTACATGCACATATAGAATTTATAAAAAACACATTTATATATATCAGGTCTACCGGAAAGTTTTGTCCGTTTTTGGAATAAAACAAAATACAAATTTTTATTACCGTCAATAAACTTTATTAAATAATGTAATTGCAATTATTATTAATGATTTCTTGCCAGCGTGAGGGCAATTTGTATATCCCATTTTCGAAAAATGTTTTATCTTTTGATACGAAAAATTGAACCAGTGCTTGTTTGATATCTTCTTCATTTTTGAATTTCTCGCCCCTCAAAAAATTTTGTAAGGACAAAAACAAATGATAGTCGGAGGGTGCTAAGTCCGGGGAATATGGTGGATGCGACAGAATTCCCCAGCCTAGTTCTGCAATTTTTTGACGAGTCCCCAAAGCAGCATGTGGCCTAGCATTATCATGATGCAGTATGATGTTCCTCCTATTGAACATCGCCGGCCTCTTTTCTTGGACTGCTGTATTTAAATTATCAAGTTGCTGACAATACTTCTCCGAATAATGGCAATTACATTATTTAATAAAGTTTATTGACGGTAATAAAAATTTGAAATTAAATATATTATTAAAGTAAATAATATATCGTTTTACGCGCGCTTGAAATGTATGGTTTTCTTAATCCATTCACTCAGGATTAACCTCGTTTTCGGGTATTCGAGAAGCTTAAAATAAAAGATCGAAATAAAAGCCCCGTTACACGCGATTATATTTTTTCAGAATAAAGTTTCAGAAAGATTCGAAGAGACTTATTACCTACCTACGAACGATTTCGTATAACGACCAGGTGCGTTCCCACGGTCGACCGATGCCCAGGTTTCGATTATATCGATTGAACTATCCATTCGCGTGACAATTTTGAGAGAGGAAACGAAAAGTATAGGATTAGGAAACCCGAAGTTGTCGTGTTTCACATAATTACTTTATATTACTAGTAACGATGCCCGGACTCGTGGCAAGTATTTATTATATTTTTACCATCTGTATTCTGAGTTACAACAGATAAAATTGAGTTAGCACCCGTGTTATAATTTCTTTTTTTTTTTTACCATTCGATTATTTCGATCGGGAAGCTTTAATTGTTTTAAAAACGTTCTCTTGTAAAATAGTATTATGACAGTATTTAAATAGTATTTTATTTTAAT